TCACGCTCTCACCTCTGGGTGGCGGGGAGCCGATGAGGTATAAGCCAGTCCTGATGTCACGCTCTCACCTCTGGGTGGCGGGGAGCCGATGAGGTATAAGCCAGTCCTGATGTCACGCTCTCACCTCTGGGTGGCGGGGAGCCGATGAGGTATAAGCCAGTCCTGATGTCACGCTCTCACCTCTGGGTGGCGGGGAGCCAATGAGATATAAGCCAGTCCTGATGCCATGCTCTCACGATGAGGTATAAGCCAGTCCTGATGTCACGCTCTCACGATGAGGTATAAGCCAGTCCTGATGTCATGCTCTCACGATGAGGTATAAGCGATCACGGAGCCGGTTCAGACTCTCTTGCACCAGTATCTGTGGCCGGACCCGTTTTCCGGCGGTGAACCCGAATGGCATGGAATTATTTATTTTGCTCTGGATGAAGTATGACCAACCAGTCAAAGATCAGTGTCGCCGCAAAGTTGTGATGCAAAGGGTGATTTTTTTTTCATACCCTCATAACAAGCTCTGCATTCTTGACAGCATCTACAGTTTAAGAAAAAAACTCATTTCAACAGTAGGTATTTCTTGGCTGTCATCCACTTGCGTCAAAAGATGAATAAAGAATACCTAGAAATTTGAGGACAGGAACTGAGCTGAAACGCAGCATTCTGGGTGACAGGGCTTTAATGGACTTGTTGAGAGTGATGATGTTAATTATCTTTTTTGTGATGATGCTACATTCCCCCTTCAGTATAGGGAATAAGAGACGCTTTTATGTACACACTGCTACTCCCCTTGGCATGAGACTGAAAGCGATGCCTTTACCTTAAGGATCAAAGTCTTGGCAGGAATTTAGCTGCCGTCAGGAAGTAAGCTAAACAACTGGCACCTCTCCGGGACAATCAACAGCGGCCGCTAAGCAAACACAGACGCTTGTGACTCGAGAGTCCTCTAAGGACAAGGGTTAGCAATGTTTAAGATATGACCCCAAAAGACCGAAGTAAACAAGTGAAAAATAACAGTCATCTTCGGTCCATGCGCTTGGGAAAGGGAATATGCAAAGCAAACGTTTGCTTGGCGGAATTGCAAAAGAAATATAGGTGACTAATAAAATACAGAAAATGAATGACATGCATTACCGTGTGGCGAAAGATTCAGTGTCACTTCCTTCACAAACAGAATGAATGGTGATGAATTCAGTACCGAAAGCTGTGAGATTAATTTAGCACACGTAGAGGCCTGGTGATAATAAGCAGGCAGCCTTCCCGATATTTCTTAGGCATAACTTGCATTAGCTCTGCACGCCTCAGGAGTCTCCCACCCCCAGGCAGGGCTGCACCCCATCCGGCTGTTCCTGTGCGGCCCCTGGCCAGATGCAGCAGGGTCAATCTGCCTGCAGTGTCGAACCCGGTGATCGTCCTTCCTCCCCTCTTTCATTCGCTCGATCCTTTTTTACACTATGTGGACAAAAGTATTGAGACACCTGGCTATTACACCTACAGTAACTTTTATGACATTGCATTCTAAATCCATAGGCATCTGTATGGAGTCGGTCCCCCCTTTGCAGTTATAACAGCTGCCACTCTTCTGTGAAGGCTTTCCACAAGTTTATGGAGTGTGTCTGTGGGAATTTTTGCCTATTCGTCCAGAAGAGCATTTGTGAGGTCGGGCATTGATGTGGAACGTGAAGGCCTGGATCGCATTCTATTCATCCCAAAAGTGTTTGGGGTAGTGGTCAGGTCTCTGTGCAGGCCATTCGAGTTCTTCTACACCAGATTCACCCAACCTTGTCTTTATGGATCTTGCTTTGTGCACTGGGGCGCATTCATGCTAGATCAGAAAAGGGCCTTCCCCAAACTGTTCCCACAAAGTTGGAAACTTAGAATTGTCCAAAATTCAAGGGGCAAAATCCCAGCGCAACCCATGAAAAACAGCCCCATACCATTATCCCGCCTCCACCAAACTTTACAGCTGGCAAAATGCAGACAGGCAGGTAATGTTCTCCTGCTGTCCACCAAACCCAGGCTCATCCATCAGACTGACACAGAGAAGTGTGACTCATCAGTCTACAGAACATGTTTCCACTGCTCTAGAGTTCACTGGTGCAGTGCTTTACACCACCCCAGCTTACGCTTGGCATTGCACATGGTGATGTGAGGCTTGCATGCAGTTGCTGGGCCATGGAAGCCGGTTCCATGAAGCTCCTTGTGCTGGAGCTAATGCCAGAGGAAGTTTGGGACTCTGCAGTTACTGGGTCGACAGAGCGTTGGCGACTTTTACACACTATGCACCTCAGCACTTGGTGACCCCGCTCTGTTACTGTACACGGTCTGACACCTCATGGCTGAGTTTCTGTCCTTCCTAAACACTTCTACTTTGCAATAATATCACTTACAGTGAACCATGGAATATCTAGCAGGGAAGAAAATTCACAAACTGATTTATTGCAAAGGTGGCATCCTATGACAGCACCACGAATGAAATCCTTGAGCTCTTCAGAACGCCCCATTCTTTCACAAAGGTTTGTAAACCTGACTGCTGGCCTGGTACCTGATTTTTTACTCCTGTGCCAATGGGTCTGAATGAAACACCTGATTTCATTGATTAAGAGGTGTGTCCCAATACTTTTGTCTATATAGTGTATCTCTGCCTCCTTTTCCATCCGATCTTCCTCTTCACCTCCTGCCACACATGACCCACTAGGCTGTATCTTCTAATTCTTCTGTAATCTTCTCTTGTGACCTTCCAAGCTGCCCACACTCTTGGTCCCCCTTTGCACGTTTCCTGCCCCCCCATCCACAAGGAGGCTGCCTGCCCCCCTATACATGCCTGTGCTTTTTCCACCCTATTCCCCCCCCCCACCTGTTTTCTGCCTGCTTTCCCCAATATCCATTCTTCTTTCATTCCCACACCGTGCCCCTTTTCTAAGAACGTCCTTGTGCACTGTGACATCACACACGCATGCCCACAGTCAAGTGTGAGCCAATCAGCAGCATGCTCTGTCTCCCTGTTTCCACTCTGCCTATTCCCATTGGTGCAAATGTGTCAGAAACCAACCTTATCCCACCGCTCTGTCCAATGATCTCAGTCACTGTGCTCTCCTTCTGACACACAGACACTCCTCACCTGGATGACCTTCATCCCTTCCTAAGTCCTCTCAATCAGGCTCTCACCAGCTTAGGTGCCTGCTGGCTTAAGCGACAGAGAAATAATGTGCTCATCTCTGCCATTGTCTCCCATCTGGAAACATCCAGGTGAGTTTTTTTTTTTCTTCTGCAATAGATTGTTCTCCTGCTCTTATCCTAGACGCTCAATACAGCGCAGGTCCCAAACGAAACACTGCTGTCCATTTATTGAGTCACACACAATGAGATACACAGGCAGAAATTCTTTAAAGAGACCCAGGTACTTTGCGGATGTTCTGCTTGAAATCTGTCATACTCGTTACTAGAACTCACATCCATCCATCCATTCCCACTTATCCAGTACAGCAGTGTTTCCCAATCTGGTCCTCTGGGATCCACAGACAGTCCACATTTTTGCTCCCTCGCAGCAAAAATGTGGATTTTCTGGCAGGGAGCTTGAAGGGAGCAAAAACATGGACTGGCTGTGGGTCCCTGACGACTGGGTTAGGAAACACTGCAGTACAGGATCACAGTGAGCCTGGATCCCACCTGGAAGCAAAGGGCACAAGGCTGGGGACATCATGAACTCAGTGAATGAAATGAAATGGCAGACTACAGGTTAGACTACAGAAATACTGAAGCTGAGCTGTGGTTGGTTGGCCCTGGGTCACATGACAGGCTCCTTCCTGCACCTCCCTGCCTTTGTCTCTGTTTTACATTGTTGTCCTTTTGAGAGTCTTGAGGCATCTGTATACATCAGCCAGGCTGGTTATCAGCTGCCCACATTGGCAGCCTAAATCCATATCAGGACGTGAGTGCAGCAGACTTCCACTTACCTTTTCATCATTTCCTGACTGTTATCTCTGTTCCCAGTACCGAACCTGCTGAAACCCCAACCCACCCCACCCAAAACCTCAGCCGGGACCCTAAGGGGTCTCAGGGCCTCAGCATATCACCAAAGCAGCATGCGGGAGGCAGTACAGCTTCGCTCCCGGAACACTGGAAGCGTAATCTGTGACACCCGCTAAAAAGGCATGTGAACCGGCCCAGCCAATGCTAGCAAGCAGCACCGCGGCTTCTGGGTCGGCCGTACGAGCTCAGTGATGGGCTGTCAGCACCAGGGGCCTCAGGCTTCAGTCCCCAAGAACACCGTTTTCTCTCTCACTGTTTGCGGGGGCATCTGCTTCATTTTAGGATATGATGCTCTTCTATGGTGGTACAGTAATGAAATGGGTGAATTAGTCTAGCAGTGAGTCTCGCAGTTAAAAAGTTTACTGTTTCCATTGTTTCTCCCAGGGAGGTTGTTTGTGTACTTTTTAAAAAAAAAAAAAAGAAAGAAAGAAATTTGACTGATTCAACTGCTTATTTTTGCAGCTCAGTGGGTTTAAGTCTATAATGAGCAAGACCCTCCTTCTCTTCTAGAACAGTCACACTGTTGAGAAAGAAACTTTTTTTCTGGGAATTTTTGAGAACTTCGGCACCTGATATTCCTGAGATTGACTTTTTTCCCCATTTTTTCTTGTGAGGTTTATTCTGCACATTGTGCTTCGCTCCCTGGCTCACAATCTCACTAAAAGACTAGCTGGCTATTGTGTCCACATCTTTGTTTTGAGTCCAATGGCATTACAAAGGGTCTTAATTTGTGGCATCAGCAGGGGTTGGGGGGAAGGGTCTGCAGAACTTAGAAGAAGAATCCAGCAGAGTCCTGTAGTATGTCCCAAACGGAGAGAGAGGAGCAGCCAATCCTAGGTTTACTGTCCCAGTTTGCCTCCTTGGTCTTCTCCAGCATCTGTTTGAGCATCTGGCTGAAACGCTCCACCAGCCCCTGTCCGACTTCGGATGATAAACAGACACACGGAGAGCCTGGGGCCCCCACGGTCTGCAACGTAAACACAGTCCCTTGGTCAATCCGCGGATCCTTGGGGGTGTCTACATGACTACGAAGCAGAAGGAGTCTTCTGGCGATTGCCTTTACTCTCGTTATGCCTAGAGTCAGTGTGTGAGAAGCGGAATGAACTACCCACTCTTGGGTCTTTTAAATAATCAGTAAAAGCACCGATAGGCTGATGATCTCCTATCCCAGCCAATTAAACCAGTCCAAGGTGTGGTCCCTGTGCTTGACTTTCTGCATTTACGGCAAAACGTTTCTGGGATTTGAAGCTTCCCGTCTCCCTCCTGTGTGTGTGTGTTTATTCTAATACGGGCCCAGTCCCCTAATCAGAGCCAGGCCATCCCGTTTCCCCCACTTTGCCCTCTATGAGTCCAAAACAGACTTATTTTAATCAGGTATGGGATACTGAAAATGTCAAGTCCAAGTAGGACAGGTGCTGTCAAACGCCCACTCCACTGGTCTCCTTCAAGGGTCCTCACACGGCGGTGAAGGTCAGGTGTATCTCTTAAATACCTTTAAGTCGGAGAGCCTTTAAAGGTGCAGGGGTGGATGCCGAGGTGAGATGAAGGGCCGTGCAGGTGTATACTATTAACCACTCGTGCCTCTACCTTAAATATTGCTGGTCCAGCTCCTCTCCATTACCCTTGAACAAGGTGCTTAACATGAAATAATCGAGCAAAATATCCATCTATACGTTGAAAGAACAGACAATCCTTTGGATAAAAGCATGTCAGGTAGCTAAATGTAAACTACACTTGTCATGTGACCTTCTGTCCCTGCTTGACTCCAATCATCACGGGTGTCAGTAGTGAATTACCGTGGTAACTAGACAGCACACACGGCCCATGTATATAAGCTGTATTTGCAGATCAGTCCCTGATATAACGTTAGTTTTGCCTAAGTGACCGATTTGCCCCCTGTCTCAGGAGCAGTGTTAAGCAATGTAGCCTCAGGCTTGATATTGATTTTCCATGCTAGCATACATTCTCACAGAAAGCACATGAGTGTCCATGAGCAGCCAGCGCCGCGTGCGGTTTGTAAGCACATTCCCGACTGTCTATCTGCTACAGATTTCCATGGAACAGTGTGTGAGTGTTGGGCGAGCAGGCAAAGTGGGGTAACGTGTGTAAACTAACTACTTCTTCCTCCCCATTTCCATTTGAATATCTTGAATAATGTATTATGGAAAGAAGCGATGCATTTCTGCAAGACCTTTGTCAGTTTGCGTTATTCTGATCGGTCAGCCCTGGCATGTCAGCCCACTGGCGGTGGCTTTAAAGCTGGAAAAATGCAGTAAAAATCAGCGCGCACAGGAATGCGTAATTGAGGTAGGCAGGTGGGACAGCATTTGTCTATTCATTTGAAGAAGGAAAAAAAAAAGGAAAACATGAGCTGTTGTTTGCTTAAGCACCGAGCGTTTGGCCCTTAAATTAGCGGAGGAAGGAATTGCCATAAAATGATATCCTGGCTGTGTTTTACTACCTGCGGTTCCAATAAAAAACAGTAATAATATCAAATGTCTCACTGTCCCTTCGGAAAACGGTTCACGTGAAAATTGCGCCTCGATCTCAATGATCTCTTTGTGAAGCAGAAACTCAGAGCTGTTTCTTCAGAATATAAATATGTTTAGGGCTTAACACCGGCTGAGCATTCTTCTTAATCTTAAATGTAATTAGCACGTAAGCAATTGTGCTATTGTCATGTTGTCAGGATTGATTAAATGTTCTACTCGCCATGGTAAAGTACACAAAGCAGAGTGCACGATAAACACCAAATCGCAGGTGACGCCCCCCAGCTAGTCAGGAGAGATCGGGCGGCAGCAAGCAGGCTGGGCTTCTGTGGTTGATGGCGGAGGCTGTAACAGTCTCTGGATCGAATGACAAACACCGGTGAATGTGACCGATGCAGGGCTGCAGGGAGAATCTACAACAGAAACACCCGCCCTCAGAATCAGACCATTCAGGTCATTTTCACTGCAGCAGGAATCTCAAGCTGCATCCTTGCAATTGTAAACTAAACAGACACTTCTACTCAAGGGGTAATCACTAAGCAGACATTAATATACTAAGTCTACTCACTAAGCAGGCACTACTACTCAAAATCTACTCACTAAGGAGACACTTCTACTCAAAGTCTACTTACTAAACAGGCACTACTACTCAAAGTCTACTCACTAAGCAGATACTTCTACGCAAGGTCTACTCACTAAGCAGACATTACAACTGAAAATCTACTTACTAAGGACAGACTTCTATTCATAGTCTACTCGCTAAACACACATTTTCTGTTAGATCCTGGTGAGCTACAGGATTGGCATTTGCACCAGCATAAGTGAAAAACAATAGGGCAGATCTGTGCTGAGGATCTTTATCGGCGGGGCTGGAGACTGGGGAACTCTGGTCTGACTTGTTTTATCCAGTGCCAGTACCGCCAGGAGCATTCCAGACAATCTTTTACAATGTACAGATATAAAAATGTTTATACTGGTCTCTGAGATGGTCAGACACACAAAAGCAGACATAATGGCGGTAATGGAAAGGTGTTTATACGGTTATATATTCTAGTTTAAATCAGTGCTCGATATCTGGGCTAGGCACTACACGGGATGATAAAAACACCATAAAATATTTGTATGCAATTCCATATGAAGGAATTCTTATCGAGGGTAGGTATTTCATTTGAAAATCTCTGACTTGAGCAGGTATTATGAGAAACTGAAAAAAAATGTTGAAATCACAGGATGGCTGAATAGGTAATAAAAATATATAAATATATTATAATTACACATTCAAACGAACACTGCCATTCATTTTTTTAATTAAAACACCCCCTCATATTGTGACAGATAAAGGGTGAATCCCTCTTTCAGATACATTCATAGCGAACTCAAATTACACTCTGTAGTCCATTAACTTCCTGCTTTCTGGATTATCTTGGATCCCAGCCCGTCACCAAATGATCTTAGGGTTTATTGCTCCATCCGATCTGCAGATGGACAGCAAATGCAGACATCTGCGTTTCCGAAGGGCCGGCCTTTGGCAAGTCATGACTCAAGAAGCTGAACATTTACCAAACCTGAATGACATACCAACACACAAAGATGGACATGGAAGAATGTTGCCACGATACAGTGCTGAACAGGACGCGTGAGGGAGACCGATCTTCATTCAACCTCAGACATCTCCCCGCTGAGGACCTGAATTAATGGCTGGGTAGAAGCCAAGGTGTAAGG